AAAAAAATGAGAGGTACTCTTTATCATCATCAATGTCGTAAACCAGCCGGATTCATTTCGTTTATGAATATTGTGGATAAATGCGTGCTCATTGGACAAATAAACATAAATATTGCAACCATAAAGTGATCCTTATCATTAACGATAATCAGGTAATTGAAAGTCCACCACTTCTACATGCATATAGTTAATGTACGATGTAAAAGAGTTCGTCAACTGCAAGTGGAAGTGTTAGTGTGTCTCTTAATCGCTTGAAACTCCCCATACTCATGCCTTAGTCTGTTCGCGCAAAACATTCATGTAGCCCCATACAAAATGTATGTAAGATACTGTTTTAACGACAAAGGAGCACTGAGAAATGTGTATAAATAAAACGCACATTATGTCATGCATTTATGAACAGAAATGAAGTTGAACCGAGAAAATTAGCATTTGCGTGCAACTGGCAAGGATACACCGAACAACGATTCGAATTCGATTAACAGCGTAAAATGGAAAATGAGATTATTGCAGGGGACGGGATTTTCATCATAGTTATTGTTGTTGTTGTGGTTTTTGGATGATTAAAAGTGCGATATATGTGTGTGTGCGCGCGTTGAGTATGCAAACAATATCACCAACGATCCCCAATCACACATTGTTTTGTGGAACCGTTGCATTTATGGGAAAAACAAAAGTGCGTTAAGCTATCATGCTTTTACATGTTCAAAATTCATTCGTTTATTAATTGTGCGCCTGTTTTTGAATATCTCGATTTAATCTCATAATTTATTTAATTTTTGATATTCATGTTTACAAGCAGATTTACGTTCGTTCACCCGCACTTCCTCCCCCTTTTCTCGACGAATTCAATTAAAAGATTCACCAATACAGAAAAAAGAAGTGTGTGATTCACTGTGACAATGCTGGCGGCACCTTTTGCCAGTTTTCGCCTATTTTCAGCAATCACATTAAAATTGCTCGCTTTGACTCAAACTAATTTCTTGAATTGTTCTTTTCACTTTGTGAACTTTTCTTATGTAAATTATGTTTCTTGATGAAAAAGTTTTTGCCTCTTTCAAATAACAATCTCGTTTTCTCTCTTTCTATCGAGTCTATGCACTCTTGACATTTGCTGGCATTTGCTTGGCTTATGTTTCGAGAACTTTATGGAATTTCGTTCGGAAACTGGTCTCACTAATGTTATTTGAATTGGTGATGTTGAAGCGAAAAACTTTCGAAGAGCATCAGAAATTGCATTATTTGATGAGCCGGAAGAATGCTCCCTCTCTATCACTTTGCATTCGCCCCGAAGCACTCAATTTCAATAGAAAGCGTGTATAGTTCAACTATTTTTTTTTTTGCTTTCCCGTATATATGCGCGCAATGGGTGTGCATACAGTGTTCTAAATTATTAAATATTAAATTAAAATAACATGCAATGCAATTGGTTTTGGCTTTTGGTACATTAGATATCAAACAGAATTTCGATACTCACATTTTCTATTGCACATACACAAGCCTCGGTATCATTTTAAAACTGAATCAATAGATTGTCAAATATGTCCACGTCATACACGCACTTTATAAATGTGTAGTGTATGTTTCATTCGGTTGATCGAGCTATAATCATATTTTGGAATGACGAATAGTTGATGGGAAAAAAAGCCAAATGACACAAACTGAAATTATGGTGCGGTTTGTATTGAAAATCAATTTTCCGTTGGGTCATCAGTAATTACAATACTTTTCCATATTGTGTGTATACAACAAATGGATTTTAAAATTTGTGTTTCAAATAGTTGAACAAATTATAGCTTTAGTTTCGGTTTTATTTTCTTTCGTCTATTTTTCCTCAATAATGTCCCGCCCATTGAAATTGAACAATGAAAAGAGAGAGAGAGAGAGTCCAACCACACAATATATTAACAATATAAATCGGAAAAAATATATAATGAAAAAGAGTCACGATGCAGATAGAGTAATAGAGCGAGTTCCGAGCATAAATGGTTTTTCATAAGAAATACACACGATTGGTGACGAAGTCAGTAGAAAAAAGTGCAACGCTTTTATGTAATAAATTTTAAAATAATAAATAATGAATAACGGTTTGTTCATGTTTATCCATTGAAATGACATCGACCGAATGCAGAACGAGCGAGCGAGCTGGCAAGTGATATAGATAGAAAAATGACAAAAAAATGAATCCAAAGACATACACAATGAATAAATAAATAAATCGATATTCTTTATTTACAACGCAAGGGGATGATAATGAAAATGGCTGTGACTTGACTCATACTCATGTGTGTTCAATATTCAAAAATACACAGGCTATTATCAACGGCATGACAATACCATTAACCTGAAATTCGAATTCGTTTTAGTCGCTCTCTCTCTCTCTGGCTGTGTCTCTCTCATGCACACGCACCCATTATCTCTGCTGCAATCGATTGGCCGTTACAATGGCCATATTCTCATGATATTATGTCATCTAGCTGTCGGTAATTTACATGTTGTTGTTATACAATTTACTGTGTGTATGTGTTTTTTTTTTCGTTGTATATTTAATTCATCTTATTATCCTTTCTTGCGTTTTCAACATTGTTATTGTCGCCCATTGTGGTTGTTAGTGGACGATGTACTGTCCAAACTGGTGAAAGCGACCGACCGAAAGAGATACGACCGATGTGCGGTTACAATGTGAATTTAGTTTTATATTGTATGTACATGTACGCCAAGTTTTTCCTCGGCTCTCGGCTCTTGATTGTAATGTAATATGAAATTATATGGTTTAAGCCCCCCCATGTGACATATGCGCGACATCAAACAATTCATTATTATTTAGTTATTTAGTAGCCCAATGGCCAATAGAACTTCGTCCATTCTCTCACTCACTCTCGAAATAGTTTGTAGTGAAAAGAGCGTGAGCGCGCGCGCACACACACCACTGAATGTTCGTTAGTTTTATTAACGACAGCATATCGACATGCACATAATATCATCTAGGGCTATCAAATAGTCGCATAATGGTACTACTTTTTTTCACTCTTTTTCTTCAAATTTTGCTCGTTTCCATTGAGTTTTCATGTAAATCAACTTTCCAAAACTCAAAAACTCTGCCAAAGCACCGAATAAGAGAGAATGCATATTACGTATTGTATGGAAGGTTCTCACCATAATATGATTTTCAAATAGTATTATTAATCTCAGGTAATTAACCATTAAGTCACGCATTTCTATGTATATATCGATGCGACGACCATCACTCAGTGCGTCGTTCAACTTTTCGAATTGTAACCGGAATATTACTTATTTGCCATATTGTATCTGAATATATAAATGTTAACATAGTAACTGCTCTCAATATCACACGATGTCGCCATTAATTCATTTACGCGTTGAAGCATAAAATTTCCATACCGATGGATGTATAATACAACATCGTCCGGATGAAAAGTGGGGTACTTAAAACCGTTATAATATTACCAGTTTTGACGCCCCAGTTTTCTCAGTGCTCAATAGATCAATATTGATTTAGAAATTATTTCATTCTCAAGCCTACCCGTTTTCGGTTTTAATTCGTCTTAAGCATCATCGCATCACTTTAAGCCAAACGAGACGAACATTTTCTTAATCCTTTTAACAAAGTTTAACATTGAGATGAGAAAAAAACGGAAATTCCTGTTCAAACGGATAGCGAAACTCCAAATGAATTCCAGCTCAAATTCAACAATCTAATGAAAAATGATTTGCTTTGAAATGCTGAGAAGAAATAAAATTGATTAAAATCCACCCTTTTATATGATATTGGATTTGAAACAAGAGATGACATCAACATTTAAATTGTTATTCCACCATCAAAGCACCATCAAACTATTTCGTTTGGTTTTTTGTTTCTTGGTCTGTTTTAAATTTATTTCATTTTCAGAAAGAGTCAACGAATTACGTTGATCCCAACAAAATCAGACATTTCACACGCATAATCATGAACTTTTTTGTCACTTCGATCAAATCAAGCCGTTTAGATTTTAATTTCATTCGAAGTAGATCGTATATACCTATTGATTTTCTCGATGCTATAACAACCTAATTACAAACTGGCATTTTTGACCAAATCGCGAATAGATCAAAACTATGTAAAATGATGATGGTTGTCGCGGTGCGCGGACTCGACGGACGCACACACATACAATATCGAACCCCAAATAGTTTGCTGTGTATATTTGCATACGATATTTAGACCAGTTTATGACTTATGAATGGTTCGCGACCATTTTTCGTTGTTTGGTGCTTCACTCGCACTCGAATATAATTTCGTTTGGGTCAGATTGTGCTCATTTGTATCGACATAAATCACAAAATCGAATACAACAGCTCCTCTCTCTGTGTCCAATGAAAGAAGAAAAAATCCAACAAACCAGAAAATGTCGCCCGAAAAAAAAACAGTCAAAGCATAATTTGTGCTTCGTGTACTGTGCCAACCGATTAATTTTCAATTCGAACTACACTCGAGTTATTTATTAATGAGAAGACCGTTATAAATATTGATTATTTTTTTGTGTGTATGCTCAATTTTTTTGTGACGATCATGTCAATACAAGGACACACATAATAATCCGAAGAGCCGATATAATTTTATGGTGTTATTTTGATCTGGTTGTTTTATTTTCATATATGATGTGGATCGATAGTTACATTTTTTTTCTGCTTCTTTGTCGGTGGCCATTTTATACATCATAAAATGTGAATAAGTAGCCAAAGGAAATGGCCATAAATTAATTAATAATTACGATTCATTTACTGTAAAATCAACAAACTTACAGCAATTCGTAATGATGATAATAAAACGTTTTGGAATATTCGATTAATAAGTCGATCATTGGAGTGCCTTAATTACATAATTAATTATTCTCTAAATCATACAATTTTATGTAAATAAGACTTTAGCTATTAAGGATCGAAAAAACTGTGTTTGGTTGCCCTTTTTTATATGAATATTTATAAAATATAGTACTTACATCTCGAATTTCCTTGATTTTGCCGCCACCCTTTCCAATAACACAACCGGCCAAACTTTGATGAATCAACAAACGTAAATCAATTTCGCTGTCCGCCTATAGAGAGAAAATGAAAAATGTGACATTAAATCATTAATTCGAATCAATTGGCTTACAATACAAACACTACAAAGTTAAACATTCGATAAAATTAACAATCTCTATTGCATTTTGGCTGAATGGCTTTACATTTTCATTTGAAATGAATTGTGTTTTTTTTTTATCGTTTCGATCTGTTTTCGTCAATTTTTGCTGGTTGTTGACTTTTCAGCAAGCCATTGTGTTCGCGCTTCGCATAATATTTATTCTCTTTTCAGTCGGTTTTTTACAGTTACACTGACTCCAAACACACTATATGTTTGAATAAAATAAATATACACCGAACGCTTGCAATTTCTTTGCACGTTCGCAAAATTGTTGATATTCACTAAATGTCGTGTTTTTTTTTTGGTTCAAGTTCTTTCTCTTTCTCGCACGCTCATTTGAAATCGAGAGTCTCGATCTATTCAATGGATGTGATTGGAATTCAACGAACGATGCTTATTTTGTATCAGCTCATTCATGAATGTATATATAGATATATTTCTGTAAAAAGTTTTCGATATTCATGTGGAAATCGCATTTCCACAAGAATCAATGTACTCTACAATCCATCTATTTTATCCAATAAAATGTGCAGTGGACAGAATCGAAGACAGCACAGTAACAATATCACGCTTAGTGTGTTAGATGTGACACACTTCTTTAAATAAAATGTTCAATCAAACCCGATCAAACCTGAAGGTACTGCTAAAATGGTCGAAGAGCGAAAGATAATAAAAAAAATTGAAGCATTTTTATTTTCTATCAATTTCTTATTGCACTTCAAAGACTCTTTGGCAACGTACACGCGCGATATCGTGTCGTAATTCCACAAGATATGCATATTGATTGGATTCATGTATGTATGTTTAGGTACATGTTTTGTTTAGATCCATTTTGGCTGTACGGTTTTCTTTTTTGTTCACCTTGCTTGAGTGTACAAGTTGAAGGTGATGCTCTATCACCAAAACTATGTAAAATGCAAATACTTTGATAGAAAATTGTTAAGGTAAACAGAACGAATTTCCATCTTGTATGTTCCAAGACACAATATATTATTTTTTTTTTCAACTGAAGGATATCGAAATCGTAAATTCGATTGTCTTTCTGTGAAATGACATGCAATTTGATTCGATTCGATTTTTATATCGATGAGAAAAAGTAAACATTTTAACATTTGAAATTTAAACGTTTCGTGACAAAGTAATGCGTGTTGTTTTCATTGTCTCACATGAATGACAGTGGATAGAATCGAATGCATTGACAACAAATTGTCGATCATTTGAATTCGACAAAAGTTTTGGAAAACTTTGGAAAATTGGGCGTTTTGAGCGAAGTTTTAAATGCCGAAACCAAAAATCGTCTACAATATGTCATTTTAATGTCAATTGTTTTACATTTGTTAGAAGAAAAAAACGAGAGAAACATTCGCTCGAAGAATTGTCAAACGGTGAAAAAGTTACTCCCCTTTTAAGATGACAACGACACCGCTCTATGTCATTCATGCGTGTAAATAATGACAACAATTGATATTTTTTATTGAAAAAGTAAAAAAAAAAAACAGAAAAAGGAAGCACACAAAAGGATATGAAAAAGCACACGCCTTCTAATTAAACTTGTTGGGTATTTTGAATGGATTTCGATGCTTGGATAGTGACCACATGTTTGTGGTTTACGTGGCATACGCTGTATGTCCTGAATCGGTAATTGCTACAATATAAACCGAAAACCCCTTTCTTCTTTCGATTCCAAATAATTAGCGAATCGAACTTATTCAATTGAATGCTCCCATTGAAATGATGACAACAAGGTATGTAATGTCAATAGACATTTCAAAAAAACATATTGAAAGACAGCTGGACGAGAAAAAAAAGAACAATCCATTTGTATCGAGGCAATTCAGTTTTTGTTTTGTTTTCAAATTTAGTACACAAATAATGATTGCAACAATAAAAAACGGAATAATGTTTCATTCAATTTGAAATTATCACATTTTTTTTATCAGTTCACAATCCATACATTGCATTGTCCACATTGCGTCTATATAATCACGGGTGTTCCGATGCAACAGCAAAATAACAACTTTTTTTTCTTCTGTCGTCATTGTAATGAAAAATATGAGGAGCTTGTATTGTTTCATTCAATTTGACGTGGCTTGCCGAATTAAAACTCATTTCCGTGTGCTTGAAAATATACCACTTTACAAATCAACTCTATACACAGAGAAAGAGTTTGAACGTTTCTATTTGCATATCGCATTTTCCGTCGAGCTTAATTTTAAAAAGTCTGAATGCTTTTTTTTCCTTTTCTACTTCTTATAAGTTATTGTTTTTTTTTCTGTTCAATTCGATAAAATGCAATACAACGTCCTGTGCATGTTTCTCTGTTGCGCTCTGACTTCAATTTGATATGAGACATCGAAATCGAGAAAATAAAAAATAAAAGAGTGAACGAAACGGGCGCGTGAACGAAAACAAAAATAAAATTTCGAATCGCGTGTCTTTTGTAATTACTATTTTAAAAATTTATTTATATGGCAAATGTTTATATGTGTGTGCGCGAATGATATTGGCTACGGTTTCGGTTTTAGCGGTTTCGACATGCATGTCGAGCTATGTATTATATTCATGAAACTGTGAATATGTGGCGACTTACTGTCTATTTGTGGCAAAACAACGACATTGCGGCTATCCAATAACAATTTAATGAAATATACGCTCTACACAAAATCATTTCTTCTTTTTTTGCCATGCACACTGTACTTTCATTCCTTTCGTTTGTTTTTGATTCTTTATTTGTTTACCATTTCAATTCAATTGTCTTATAATTGGGGATCAGTTTACCTGAGAGCTGTTGTTTCGATCAATTGTCCTATCAATTCGTGTACCGAATCAAAAGGCAATCATTTGAACAATTTTTTCCATCATCAACCATCAATACTAGCAAATTTAATTTACCCATTTGATAAATTAACTGTCTCCATTTCAGATAATTTTTTTGTTCTTTTTAGATCGTTATTTTCATTCCGATTTTAATTGACAAATTGTAGAGTTAAGAATTCTCAGTTCTCGTTTATTACAAATGAAAAAAAAATGTTGGCAGACGCAAAATATGTTAATAGAAAAGATGAATGACAGTTATTATACAATGTAAATTAACTTGCAAACTATAATGGTCAATAAAATTTTATGTGAGATTTTCGCAGTGTATCCTTTGATGCAAACGGCAAATAAATTTTAATAAAATGAATAATTGCCATAATAAATGTCGAAGCACACAAATAGACTTTGTCATTAATTTCTGGTTAAAAAAATGACCGATTGTCAGTTTTATCCTTGATTCAACCGTTTCAGTCATTCAGTAATTCAATAGAAATATTAATTTTGTTGCAATAATAAATTATATATATACCAAAGTTACTTACCTCGCCAAAGTTGTTATGCAAAATATCTTCAATCACTTTGAGAGCATTGTTGAGCTCAGGTGCAGATATATTTACCGTACTGTAAAAGAAAAGAGCCAAAACAAGAAAAAAAAGAGAGAACAAACACATAATTAGTTCAAATTGGAATTTTTAAATCAAAACGAAAAGAATACCTTACACATTTAAAGATATATGTATATATGTATATATATAAAAATGTTGGGTTGAAAAATGTATAAATTGATGGAAAATAATAGTCATACTTGACAAAATACAGAAGTTTGGTTTTTTGTCACAAACATTTTATCCAATTGGAAATTTTATAGCAAAAAAGATATAATGTGTGTAAAAAAAACAGTCATAAATTTTCGCGCCAAACATATTCGTCGAGAAAAAATAATTTTATGGGTATGGATTTATCTTCAATAAAAGTATAAACAAATAGATAAAATTGACAATGTCTTAACAACAAATGTAACCGAAAGTATTTTGAATACTTCCATTTGACGCACGCTCAAATAACAAAAAATTGACAAAAACCCAGAGTCTTTCACGTTTTCCTTCCGTATTCCACGTTGTGTCACGTTTTTCATAAAAGCATAAGTGTTAGACACATTGTTTGTGTGGTTTAGTACATGCCATTTCTATACTTATTTCCAATTTAATTTAAACACATTTTCAATTTTATCGAGTGTTTAATGCGGGCTGGTGTGTGTGCAAACGAATTTTCACAATGGTATTCAATTTCGATGGGATTTAATTAGAAAATCATAGCAAAAATGATGATATGAAACTTTATATGTACCGGATCGATTTTCAAAAAAAAAAATAATATCAATATCGACACGGCACATAAACATCCAGATACACGCGCTTACACATATAGAAAGATACACTCGTTCAACGATTATTTCCCACATTACGAATGGTTATGTTGGTTTTCTTTTACAATCATTTCGATGCCGGATTGAGATTGTTTGGACTCATGCCAAATATACTCTCGCACCACATGCACATCGAAGTGATTTCTTTTATAATATTTGAGAACCGAAAAGATGTGTTTCAAGACGCATACAGAACATGGATGTGATCAAACGATGTGAATAACAAATAAACTATAATAAATCCACCGTCACCTATAGTTGTTAATTCAGCATATGGATAAAATTGGAATTCGATTAAAAATGAGACACACAATAATATAGAAAGAGATAGAGAGGGAGGGAAAGGTATGGATAAAAAAGAGAGAAACAAACAATAATGCCCCGTTGCCGCATGAGCCGCGATTACATATAACAAATGATCTTTTGAATGATAATTAGTGGAATTATTTTCTTAGAATTAAAATATATAGAGAATAATGGATTAATGTGGTTGCAAAAATGAAAATGCTTTATTAGAGACTGAGACGGAGAGCGTGAAACAATATGATTGGTGAAAGTCTTTTAAATGCGCATAATTTTTTGCGTGTTTTTTTTTTGGTTCAATTTTGTCTTTGAATGTTGATGTTCTGGTGAGGGCGGCGTTGGTTGACGAAACAGTATCGATTTTCAGATCGAATCTAATTCATTGGAGCGGACAATTTGTGTGCGATTTGCCATAGCAACCTGTGGATTGAATGATGACTATCAAAATGAGAAATTGATTTTTGGAAACCATTCAAAAAACTTCTTATTGCGATTAATCGATACGCAAAACGAAAAGAAAAAAAAGAGAGACTGAAATAACAAATTGAATTAATTTTTAAATGTTCGAATGATGATTGGAAAATTCTACTGTATATTGAGATTAAATGAAGTATCATTGTCAAAAAGGATAAGAGTCTCTATTTTGAAATTTGAAAGTCATACATGGTTTGACTTGATTCAAATGCGAATCGAAGGACGAACAAAAAAATGTTTTTTAACAGGAACAGAGACAAAAATACAGAAAGAGAGAAATAGCTTGGAAAAGAGATAGTTAAGTGAGACACGCACAAAAACAGTGAAAAGCAATTTGATGATATATTCAGACACGCATCTCGGTCGATGCGAATGAATTGTTCTTCTGATAAAATAATCGCAATTTCAATGCAAGTATGCTGGTGTTGATGTTGTAATTTCTGGTGTGTGGCTTACTTGTTTATCGTTACACATATATATATTGATAGATATTATTTATATTTTTCTATACAGAATCGAATTTTTGTATGCTATGATATATAGATAAAAAAGGCTTAATAAAACAAAATTGTTTACCGTTCAGGGCCAGGGCAATCCTCAACATTAATATTGGCATTAAACTGCAGTTTGTGAACAGGTGTAGTATTTTTTTTTACAAAAAAAAAAGTTGTGCGTTTTTATTCAGACAATTATATTTTATCGAATGACGACGAATCGGGAACGGAACGAGAGAGCCGGAGATTCGTTTTGTCGCCGAGAAGCAGATCAAAAACACACACACACACAATGGTAATTTTTTTGTTTGTTTGTTCGTTTCGTTTTGGTTTATATCGGTTTTTCATCAGAAAATGACGTTTGATTGACCAAACAAAGGCACAGAGTGGTGTTCACATCATCATTTCAAGTGTTTTGTGGTTCGGACATTTTGAGTTGATTTTGGATTTGTTTCGTTAGATATCGGATTTATTCAGATCAGATCAGAGCAGAGCAGGAGTCAACACGGGGCGGCATACGGACGAGATGATGAAGTGATGGTACAATTTGACAAATGTACGTGAGTGTGAATTGCGATTCAGATTTGCAGGTGCATTCAGTGATTCATTTCATTCAGGTTTTTTGTTTGTTTGATATAGTTTGTTTGTTTTTGTTTTTTGTTTTTTTTTAATCGTGGATGAAGTTCAATTCAATGTTTGCGAACGTCGAACAAGTTGATTGGTTTTCATATTTTGCGATTGATTTTTGTTTTTTATTCGATTTAGTTTGATATTTCCATTTGAGTTTGAGAATTTAGGAGTTTTACACAAATTTTCCATCACAATTTTGTAATTGAAATGAAAATATTTTGTTTTTGTTTTTTATTTGAAAATTTGACAGATTTCGAAAAAATAAATGATTTTAACGAATAAAAATGCATTTACGATGAAAAAACGAAGGCACAATTTACAAAGGGCACATAGTAATTTGATTGATTTTTTTTTTAATTTATGATGTATTGTTTTTAAAATATACGGTTATTTGAGATTTTGTTTTGTCGGATTTGAATTCGCGTTTATTTAAATCGTATTTTCGTGATTATATTTGTTCGTTTAGTTGATATTTCGTACGAAAAACAAACCGAATGTCATTGGAAATACGCACATTTCACGCACATGTTCATTTGATGTTTTTTAAAAATATTTGGTATTTTTTGTTTGTTTGTTGCATGTTGATTTCGTTTTTTCCAGGGAAATGGCACACGCAGATGGTTTGATTTGTTTTCGGTTCGAGGCCATTGGCGAGATGAGATTCAGGTAGACATTATATTTTTTTTTTAGGTTTGATATGATTGTTTTCATTTTTAGATTGTTTGTGTTGTCGTTGTCAAGTTGGCATTTTATTTCATGTTTGTTATAATTTTTCGTTTTGTTTTTATATGCCGAAAAAAAAACATTAGCATCAGGAGACAAGATAGCATCATTGATCACACCGAGTAAAACAAGGACAACGACCCAAAAAACGAATCGGCACCAATGTGCGTTTATGTATAGATATGTGTTTTTTGGTTTCGATATTGATTGGTACGAGTGTTTTGTGTGATTTATTGAGGCATTCGCATGGTACCCAGCAGATGAGTAGTTGTTCAAAGGACAGGCAGGCAATATATATGTGAAGGGTAAATGAGAGAAATTTCAAAAAAGAGTTAATTATAAATATAATAAGCCTTAAAATAATATTAATTTAAAAAGATAAACGAAAAAAAAAAATCTTTCTTTTTTTTATAAATAAACATTTAACGGAAACATAAAATAACAAGAATACGAATTGAACAAAAAAAAGTCTGGTAAAAAATAGAAAAAAAATCAAGAGCCTAATATTACGAATTGGTAATTGAGTATTTGCGAAACAGACAGATGAATAGAATGAGCCAAAGATCGGGCGGGGAGAATTAATCAAATTAGTAGTAGAGAGATATTATCAAGAATATAAAGAAATGGAATATTGTTTTCGCAAACTATGCGAATTTTGAAAAAAAAAAAATACGTTGGAAAATCAAAGAGACCAAAACAAGAATAAACACCGGCGATTTATGGCTGCTGTGATTTCAAGTGAAGAAGAAAAAAAAATATGCGAAAATCATAGGGGTAATTATAAGAATTTGAAATGAATTGAACAAAAAGAGAAATATTTTTTTTCTTTAAAGAGACCGGGACAAATCAATCAAGAGTTTATAATTTTGTGTCTTTTTCTGTTTGTTCTTCGCGGGTCGAAAGGTTGTTTTTCTCCCGAGATTATTCTTCCCTTTTTTTTCTCATGAAAACACAACAAAAAGACCTTATTTCAATGCAATTACCTAAAGTGACTATTTAAGTGATTTTCATCTTTTTTCATGATCGATACATGTATATTTAAAGATATTTTTTACAAGCAAAACATTTGATACAATTTTACATACCTCTTGACGTAGTCGTTTGATGTTTTGGCCACCTTTTCCAATGATACCGCCAGCAAACTGTGCGCACAAGAGAAAATGAAAACGAAAAAATTCGAAAATCACAATTTTAATTAAACTGTAAACACATTTCGTTCAACAGTGATATTGGAAATTGATTTTCATTTTGTTCGGTACGTGAGACCGTGCCGGTATATATTAAAGGGATACTCATGGCATGTGTGTGTGTGAGTGTGAAAAAGGGAAACTTTACTGGAGCAATGTGATGTGGTTTTTGTACTTACTCGGCTTGGAATCAGTAAACGAATCGTTTCCTCGTTGCGAAAGCGTTTTTGTCCTCGATTGTTATTATTATAGTTATTATTGCTGTGATTTCCACTGGCATTACTGCCACCACCACTGCTCAAATTCATGACTCCTTCGTTCACATTGTCTTCGCTCTCCGAATTATTTTCTGACATAGCTCGCTTCATTTTGACTTCGGTTCCTATATGTTGAGAAATGAGAGAAAATATAACACATATACAAAATTAGTATTACAACAATTTTCCGTTCAAAATAAGTTTTACAAGTTTATTGGAATTTGCACAGTATTTGTGATGATGAGATAATATGTGTTTTGGGTGTGTGTAATGGAACAATGCGCCGAATTCAATACAAAATGAAATCACGTTGAAACATTTACATTACCATTCACAAGAATTGTGATTGCGTCGAAAATTATTATTATTGTCAATACAATTGAATTGATCCAATCAAAAATGGAGTGAATTTCAAGAGAGAGCGAGAACGATACAATAAATAAAAAAACCGTCTATTTTATTGATTACGTTCAAATTTTCGAGAATGGTCGTTGGTGTTTTGGTTCAACCCACAATCGATACGCAAAAACCGTTCGCTCTCAAAACGGAACGACAACTAACTATTGTAAGTCTCTATTGCTCAAGCGAACGATGTGACAGATTTATAATCGAATAAACACGTAATGTCCATTGGATTTTGCTTAATCAAAATGATGACAAATCGATCACTTTGTTCCAATACAATTACCGTTCTAAAAAAAAATTATCGATTCCAATAACAAACAGTTGATCAACTAAGTATCACCAACGAACAATATCTGCAACTTCGTTTCGACTTTGGTTGTCATCCGGTGTGAAAGAGAGAGAGAGAGAGAAAAATGCGCGAATTCTATCGAACAAAGTTTGTTTTAATTGCAAACGATTATTGCAAAATTGCTTTTGCTTGCACAATGAAAATCAACGCTCACTTGATATTTACATTTTAAATTAGCACTTTACTTTACAACAATATAATTTTGCGTTGAGCTTCATTTGCATGCTGTACACACATACACTGTGCAATGGCACAGAAGTGGTAAAATTGACACAAATATAGGTGCACAGGTGATGAATATATTGTTTTTTTTTTCATTCTATTATTGACAACTAATTACTATTATACACAGAGTTCGCGAAGCACGCAGAGAGAAACAAACACACATAGAGATACACTGAGAGCGGGAGATCGAGAAATATAAATCTCGGTGGCGGGTGAATGTTTATTGCAGAAAAAACTTCAATCACGATTTCGAAAAAATGCGCTTCATCCACGCTCACTTCTCTTCGATTTCTGTTTTTTTTTTTTTCATTTGTTATTATGATATTTTGTAAATTTTATATTGGGAAATTGGTTACAACTCCAACACATAAATAGAATTCAAGCGATTTTTGGTTTCTTCTTTTTTGTGATGGTGTGTTTGATAGAATGTGAAAGAGAGACGCGTTTTCGAGTGTGTGCTCAGCTCAGCGCGTCAAATAATATGGAATTAGAATGCACGATACGATTTATGCCGCGCGAATGTTGAAATATATAAATAAAAATATTGTGTAAGGTGTGCGCGTTCGAGCATGCGAGTGAGCATTTTATTGGCGTTCGCGAATCGATGGAATTTACTCGATGAGTGTCGGAGTATAGTAAAGAGAATGGTTATCGATGGGTGCTTTGACGCTGTGTCTGTGTGTACTGAACATTAAATTTGTTGAGCGGTTTTTCGTGTTTGTTTCGTTTCATTTTTCTTTTTCATGTTGCATTGCGGTGTATTGCCTTTTCAACTTATGTAAGTTTGGAATGGTACTCGCTTGTATATTTGATTGATTTTTTTTTGTTTATCATTGTCTTTTCATGGTTCTTAAGCTGAGTGACACAGCAATAAACGATTTTATGCTGACAAATGCTTCCAATTGACAGATTGAAAGACAATCGCGTGTGAAAGAGAGGAAAAAAAACCACATTGAGAAATTGTATGGAATGAAGCGTCAGGAAGAGAGAAAAAAGAATGCGATAAGGTAGTTTTTGTCTACTGTTTTCTGCGTGTTCACCATCGTAAAGTCTTCGATTGCCTCACGAAATGGCATAAAATTAGCTTATATCAGCATATCAGAATGTTTATTTGTCATCGTTGTGGCTTTGCAATGTTTTTCCTCATGTATGCGAGTGCGTATGATCTAAACCAATTTCAGAATATCGGGGCTAATTTTCATGTCACATCGATAGAAAACCAAAAGAAAATGGAAGTGATCGAAATAGAGAACTGACAAATAAAACAACAAGTATAAGGGAAATGAAATGCCTGTGTGAACTATCTGCACATGGCATCGCATAATTGCGTTTGATACACCGGATATTTGCATGCCACGATTTTTTGTTGTTGCTCGATATAAATTTTAGCATCGAGAGTTGCATATGGTTGTTTCGAATGTTTGATGCTATACAGTCCTTTTTCGATTGCAAAACATCATAAACACACTTTATGACTGTACATAGAGATCGAAGTAGTTGCAAACTTGAACTCACTCCTTTGTCCCGAGAAACTATGCACACATAACAAATGTGTGCCGTTCGTATGTATTTAATGAAAACAAGCGATTGGCATTTGGTCAACTTCTTTCATCGATACTACTTATAATTTTAAAATCGAAAGTATACCATTGAAACCGATGCAATCGAATTATTTTCAGGTTCGGCACACAGAAATGGAGAACGACCAATTCCAAACGACGACAATTGAATGAACGCCTATTTAATCATCTTTCGTCTTGTTCGCTTAGTGCTGTAATAAATACGGAAACATCAAAGGTAGTTGTGCAGTGGAAAATCTTCCAGCTTGAAATAACTAGCAGCAATTTTGGTCACATATAGCATTCTCATCGATCGTGTAATTTAAAACTGTCGGAGTAAATTGAGCTGACTTTGTGTGACATGAGATAGGAAATGGAGTCGTCCATAAATGGTATTCGATCGCATTCCATTTTGTGTTTGTGTATTTGTTCAAAATAATGACGGTTTCGTATTTTGAATATATAGAATGGCACTTGAAGTCAAAAGCATTAAATATGGTGATGCGAACATTGCTCGGTTTCAGATGCATTGGCCAACAACTTACTTTTGGCAATTTAGTCGACTTCTCGTGGCCAGAATTGTAAAAGACACCGCAGAGGTGCGTGTCATTCCTTCTTGTATTCAGGTGTGGCACTTGAAAAATTTATATGGATTAGGTGCGGGCACTCACTAGTGTCCGAAATTTTGCGGTGCTAATAACATGCTCTGCTTGTGTCGATTCAGACTCAGACGCACTGAAACATTTGAATAAAGCATATTTTTACGCAGCAGAGCACTTTTTTGTTCATTTGTTTGAAACAAAATTGGAAAGAGTTTATTATGAAAAAGAAAAGAAAAAGAAACGAGCTTCATTAGAAATGAATCTTTTGGCCCAATCATTCATTCATCACCACGTGATACTATCGAAGCTAATTTCGGAAGAATTCAAATACTTTATATCAATTCAACAGAGTAGCGATTCTCTTGTATTTATTCTCTCGTTTTGAAGTATCCACTTCATTCATAAGTCGATTTATTGTATATAGAATTGAAAGATGTTTTCTTTAAAAAGAATCGTTTTTAATATTTTGAATACCATGTCATACAATCAATTAGACGCAAAATCGCACAATGAACGAAATGAAAAATAATCTTCGACTTAAGCGATTATGAAGTAACAAACAAAAAAACGTTTATAAAACACCTGAGTGTTGTTTTATCGTAAACATTTCATAGCATTCATAAAAATATTGAAGCGAATATAAAAACAGACGAGATACCATTGAGACATAGAAAATATTGTTGATGTTCTTTCGATGTAATTTGTACAATAACATCATAATATTTTCGCTTCAATTTCATTTTTATCGGAATGTTTGTTGTTGTTTTTGCTCTTGACATGTATGGAAGAAGCGAGAAAGGTCATCATTGACCGTTTAAGCTTAGTAGCAATACTTTGGTATCACTGATATTTTATTGCCATTAAGACTAATATTTGTAATAAAAAACAACACATACACGCATATACAAAACAAACGCAAACAAAAAGTACACAAATTAATCCGGAAAAATGACAAAATATATGTTTTTGTTCTGTGTAAAAATCACATTTCAATGAAATCCATTATTCTATTATTCAGCATTAGCATTAAATGGCAATTTGATTTAATGCGTTGGAACACTGTCTATATACATTTTTTTCGCTTCGAGTGTGTATGTGTGTGTGTGTGTCTGAGTGGTGGTGAAAAAAAGAAAAAAATGCCAGCACATTCATAATAAACAGCAACGGAACACGATGAAAAAGCCAAACGAATTGTGTTCGCCACTTTTGTATCGGTGTAAAAATGTCAAAACGACGCGTAATGAATCATGCTGAGCAAATTGATGAGAATATACACAACAGCTAACACAAATGAATAATCACAATGTAGCCTATTTGATAAGAAATAAGTGAGGCTTTTTAGCTTTATTCTCGGCAAGCTACCGGTTAATGATATTGCCAACACCATCACTGTCGTCATTCTTCCGTCTCAATTCAATTTCATTCTGGTTCTCTCTTTCTCTCTCTCTGGTTTGTTTGTTTGTTTCTCTCGTTTATTCGGAGCCATCTACACAAATGCGTTGAGCTGAATTTTCATTTTGCTAGCGTAGAAATGTGTTATTACGACAAGCGCACGGTTGCACAAAATTTTGACTCATCCATTTCCATGCGATTTGTGATTTTGTTTCATTCATTACACATTTTGTGCTCGATTTTCATCTGAACACTTGCAGTTGTTTCGGTTGGAGCGCGCGAGCGTGAATTCGAGAGAAGATGAAAAAAATGGAAGAGAGCGGATTTACTGATGAAGAGCCAGAAATATATTCATTTGGCAATCAGATTGCAAACATAGCAGTGATGTAGATGGAATGACCGAATAAGTAGAAATATACACATTGTGCGGAAAAGAGCAGCAGAGAGAGGGGGGAGGGAGAGAAAAAAATCTACTACGATAAATGCCATAGTGTGCACGTAAATATGTCAGAGCGTTGTAGAACTACTAATAAAAATGATTTTAGCTGAAATGAAAAATGATCTGTACGACGCTTATGGATTGAAAACGACGG